GAGGATAGCCTACGCTCGATCTCACTTTCCAGCGAGGTAATATGCTGGCCTCTCAAGTTTACTTGTTCTTGTAGCTCGATCAAATGGACCTTCTTGGCTTGCAGCACCTGCTTCTTGTCCTCCACACGATCGTGCAAATCGTTGATTTCATTCACTATTCTTTCCCATTCCTCGAACGCTCTGACTCGCCCAAGTATATCATCAGCCCAGCCCACTTTGACCTGTGCCCTCTTTAAGTTCACGAGGAATCGGTCCAGAAACTCGAGTTCCTTCCCATTTAGACGTCGCCCCTTGGTCTCACGAAGAGTCACCACCAGTTCAAACAGGGCCTTGTAAACGAAGTCTAAAAACAAAGGCACAGTCCCATCAAGATCCCCAAAAGTCTGAGGATATTTAGCCTTTACCTCGTCTAACACCTTCACTTCATCTAAAGAAAGGATCGTCTTTCCCCATGAGACGGCCGAGGAAGTGACAGCCTCTTACCCTGACCTTGTAGGAGTAACTTCTTCTTCTACCCTTAGAGAGTTAAAGGCAGGTAAGTGAACATCATCCTCTATAACAATGTTTTCCGAGGCAAGTTGATCCCCAATTGCCAGACCCTCGTCCTCAGGCTGATCATCATCATCCCCCGAGCCACTCCGTCCCAAGGTATTGTCCTTCGAGGATTCGGCAGAGTTTGAACTTTATATCCCCTCCGAGTTACTTTCTTCAGGCGGAGGAAGGGACTCAATGGCCCTTTCAACCAGTTACTTAAGCTCACCAAGAAGTTCCCGAGTGAGTTCCTAGAGCACTTCAACTGAGGAATCTATACCACTGACTTCCCCCCCGCGACCTGAATGCTGACCTTCCGAGTTAGCCGCAGCTTCCCCCTCGACCGCCTGCTCGCCAGCCACCTCGACACCTATAGAGCCAAAAAAGTTAAGATAAATAGGGCAGAGGAGGAGGAAGGACTCTAAAAGCAAGGATGGTCCATACCTTTGTTAGAGAGTGAACAACTAGAGCTACTCTTATATTCGGAAGCGCCAATAATAGCAGGATCCACGGTGATATTCACAATACCAGTACTTTCATCAAACTTACCCAAGCCTCGTGCCAAAGGTATCAGATCTTTCCTATCCCACACCACGAGCGAGTTGGGGGGGAGGGGGGTGGTAGACGAGATTTAATGATAATACCTCCCTCACGACCTGCACAGGATCGCTAAGGACGTTTACAAGGGTGTGAAGAGCATCTGAGGGAACATCCAGGCCACTGCGAGTTTCAGAGGCACGAACGATATCACCAGCAAGCACATCTCCAGCAAGGATATCCTCGAGAGGTATGGATTGGGACCTAGTGCTAGAGGCCGCACCAACACGAACTAACAGGCAAGAAACGCCTACAAGAATGTTGAAAATTTTAGCAGCAGCATTATCATGCGAGGAACCCTGAGGACAGGAAATGAATTAACAAAGATAAAATAATCACAAACCTAAAGGGAGTTCAGAGTTAGAACCACTTACCTTAGCTTGCTTCGAGGAAGTGGTCGTAGAAGCAGGCACGAATGTGCTAACATCTTGGTTAGCTTTACATTTGTCACGACGGGGCTTGGTAGCCCGAAGAGATATTACAGGTGTAGCAGCATTGGTAGCGTCGAAGGACGTAAGTTTGGCGTGCCACATGTCTTGCCTTAAGAAGACGCGGTGCATTTCTTGAACGAACGAAATGAGGCATCGCCTTTTAGCAAAGGACAACCAGGGACAGGGGCAATATCACTACATATGTATTGCTTAAAAGAGTTGACAATTTCTTTCCAATACGCCATTGTCCCCACTGACCAACGCCCCACCCTTTATGGAGGAGGCACATGGAGAATACGTCGATCTCCCACGAGCTCTACACCCCTCGACTCAATAAAACGAGAGAACCCTAGTGCATAAGTGATATGATCCTGACGAGCTCCATAACCATAGTCTTTAGAAAGCCCTTGATCCCACCCAAACTGCCGACCCACCCTGTGAGGATTATAAACCTTACCCACGCCCGAGTTTAGAAGAAGAATAGCAGGAAGGTAGCCCCGATAGGACATCACGAAGATGGTTGAGGCAGGGTTACGATTGAGGGCCTTGCCCGCAATGACCATACCATCTCTTGACGGGCAGTGATCATTGCGAGGACCCCAGGTATAAGGGCGAGCCATGAAGCATCTCTCCTTTTTAATAAATTCTGCAAATTTCTTCTTTGGGTTGTGTTTGTGCCACTGAAAGGACCTCTTCAAACCACTGTTGCACAGCAAAGCAGTAGGGCGAGAAGCATAACCTGGAAAGTGCTCATACATGAACATCTGTAGAAAAATAGTATTGATAAGAGACACCACACTTATATGACCCACAAATCGCTCCATGCGAGCGTGGGCTAGATCAAACTCGTGGTAAATAGTGCCCAAAAACAGTGCAGCCAAAGGAAAACTTTTGCTGCAAGATAGCCTAATAGCTAAAGGAACAAAGTCAAGGCAAGGCCATCATCAGGAAGGCCTGATAAGATGAAGCAAAAAAGCCATGACAAGATGAAAACCAGCAAGGCGAGGTTGGTCCCTACACTTAGGACCATTGAATGACTGCTCCCTTCCATGTCCCGACGAAGAATATCCCGAAAATAATGACAGAGGATCAACACAACGGTACATTTATTCTCTGTCTCAGGAAAATCCTCACGGACACCATCATCTTGGAACCGAGTAGCAATTTTCCCGGCCGTAGTAATAACACTCCGTAGCCCTCTCGACCTCGACCTCAGGAATGGACCAAGAGCTCGGATCTTACTTACCAAACATATTCAAGCACATAAGCTGCACCACATCGCCGAGGGTGGGTGTGAACTCTCCCCAAAAAGTAACAAAGGTATGGGTGTCTCTATTCCATCAAGACAGGAGAATTTTAAGGCCAAGACCATCTCAATTTATAGTCAGCTAACAAGTGTTATGAATGGCGTCTGTAATTCTCGAAGCTTACAAAGACTAAGAAAACTCTGCATCAGCCAGGATAACATCTGTCCACGAGTCCCACCCCTTGCCATGACCAGTTTGACTTATGAAAATAAAGTTAGAGTAAGGAAAGGCACCTCGCTCTACTCTGAACCTCAGCACCGAGTTAGGAAGGATTGGTACCCCCTCGCATGCATAAGGTTCTCCCTCAAAAAGAAAGGATCCTTCATGAACCTCGTCAACATCACTTAACCTATCACTACTAAGCTAGAAGGTATCCACTTGGGCCAAAATAAGGAGCAACTCGCCACTCGGCCAAAGGAGGAATGCTGGGAACATCAGTGGACGCTGCTTAAGACATATTTTAGGAAGCTCGAGTGGAGTAAGAATGTAGCTCGAGTTGAGTAGGAATGTGTAAGCAAAAGTATAAGAATGTAGCTCGAGTTGAGTAGGAATGTGTAAGCAAAAGTATGATCAGAGCAAATGGAAGAATTTTAAGGAAATGTGTTAAGTCCAGCTTAAATAGTAAAGGGCCCTCCATCCCAAGCGTCGCAGCTCTGACAAACAAAAAGACGCGACACTAGACTCAAAGCGTCACGCTCATTAATACACCAATAGATGATTGACACGTCGACTAAGGGGACTGAAGCAACGTGACCTTTCAGTACCAAAAAACAAATGAAACCCTCGAGGAAACATGATAACTTGCTCAAGCTCCCTCCTTGCGACCTCGAGCAAGGGGGCAAAATGTTGATAAAGGTGCCACAACACCTACTCGCGTGGCACCATTTCTGAAAAGGGAATACACCTGGCCAGTATTTGTCTGGCATCCTTCTGAAAGGACCAAGTGATCTCGAACTACTAGTCCTATAACTCGATTTGCTGAACGAAGAAGGGGTCACCACCCTTCACTTTTCTGTGGAGGTACCCCTTTCTGGTCGGATGGGTCCCTTTTTTTATACCCTTCAAGGTTCCTTCCTGCAAACAGAACCTCGGACATTTTAAGCCTTCACCCCGAGCTCACCATCAGGGTGTGGGGCCGGGATGGAGCCTCGAGGGACCGAGAAAGCGGAACCCCGATAAGGCTCTCTTCCCAATCTCTGCAGTTAGGACTCTGAGGAAATGTGTACAGGTGGCTGGGATCCAAGGAATCACCTCAGTTCTGGGCCAATGCAAGGGGGAGAGGATGTTTGATACCCGGGGTCGAACTCTAAGTAAAGCAGAAAGTGTATTAAATGCAAAAAAAACATTTGATAGGACCTAAGTTAAAGAAGGAGCGACATTGCCCCTTCGGACCAGGGGGCAAAGCACCTCAAGCCACTTGCCAATGTCCCATCTGTCAGGGGGAGAGGTCCTTAAACCCGCAGGCAAGAGAGAGCTTGCCCCTGTGACTAGTAGGCATTGACCAAAGGAAAGGGCATTATACATAGGAGCATTAATCAACATTTAAGGCAGAATCAAGAGATAGCAACCAACTATTACTATCGAGCTCAAGTTACTTGGGTATCAATTACTGCCTTCCCTCTTAATCTCTAACTTAAGAGAATCCCTTGTATTGCTTGGATCCCCAATTAGATACTGATCTCACCATTCTCAGCTAACGTGGAATCGTTTCCTCATCCTACAAAGAACTACCATCAACAGAGCCTCTACCAACACCACAAGTACCACACATAGCGACTTCATCCTAGTTATACTTCACGAAAATGGTACCATTCCGAATCGCATGGATCTTTCCCTCGCTAAGATTCGTTGAGACTTGAACCAGACTTTAGGAGGGTACTCCAAAAGCGTTACCAATGGAATAGACTTTATTAATTTGAAACTTCCCTCATTTATTATTATTAGTATTATTATTATTATTATTTTGGGCCTGAACTTTTAACTGTTGATCCTGACTGTAAAAAGGGGGAAAAAAAAGAAAAAATACACACATATCATTCCCCATATCATTCCCGTTCTTCACACCAAGGAAAAAAGAAAAGTACCACTTAGGTGTCCCACCACCCATAACACAACTTGAATGCCATGGGAGACGAGCACAAAACGCAAAAACGTTAACTATAACAAGATGAACCTTTAAGGCAGACAACTAGACAATTCAGTATGCTTTCCTCTTCTATTATCAACAAGAAAGAATATGAAAGATTCATATACACAATCGGTGTCAAAATATTCCTCTCTGAAACAGAACTTTCTGATGAATGATTTACATCTGTTTTTGAAAAGAATATTCTAAAATACGCATCTGCCCCAACCAAAATGTCAAACCTGGCATTATCTTCAGCAAACACTAGAAATCCTATCAGCATAACATGGCAATCTATGTTTCTACCATCGGCTCTATTCCCAAAGAAGGAAGAATATACAATGCCACCAAAAGGAATTCATCCAATGTTCTTTCTTCACTCTGAAAATAAAATCAAAACTGCAGCATAAAGATGATCTTCAACACTCAAAGGATCCTTGTGTAGAGCACAAACGGCAGTATTGATCAAGGGATTCCTTAAATTTTGTGCAGATGTGATGTCATTCACATTACAAGTAGCAGATGCATCAAAGAGAGCTATTTGACACGAAAATCATGCCTGAATATTGTCAGATTCTGGGTGAACTTGTCCCGGTTCTTTGAATCCAAGCTTCGAGTAACATCAGCCATAAGTTTGTCAAAACACAAGGAAAGGCGCTGATGCTGATCCACTGGCTGCAAAACAGAGAAAGGTGCAGAATCACTAAAAGAATGACTGGTGGATACAGGAGGGAGAAAAAAAAAAACACATGCAAAAGATTCAGATATTTAGTTTTTAAACTCATCGATTGTACATTTATAAAATTAAATAAAAAACGTCAAGCAAGGGAGCTGAATTTAAGAGGGGATATCAGATGAGTCCTCTTTGGAAATAACAGTATAAAACATGCAATGGTGGACCCTAGATTTTGCTTAAATTACAACTCTACACAAACTAATAGCATGACAAGCTTTTTTATAGAAAGAAACAACAGTTTTTTTATTCATTATTGACAAGTTAAAAAGGTTGACACGCTAAACAAGTTTGTCACTGATGCACTTGTGAGGGGAAAAAAAAGACAGGAGTCGAGGAAGCAAATATGTTAAACCATGGCAGTTGTGAAATATGTTGCCCGCCTAGTTCTCTTAGTTGCCCACTACTCGTGAAGAAAGGAAGAAAATTGGTGCTTCTGTTCTCTTTCTACGTTTTCGGGCATAACAGTGTTTGTTTCCGGATTTTAGATTTTATCAACTATACCTAGTATAGAAAGGAAGGGAAGGAGGTGGGGGTTTGTCTTGGAAGTTCTTAACTACAAATATCTGATTTTTGTAACTAGCAGTTATCAATACCCAGTATCAACTTTTATGTTAAGACTTCGTACGAGTATCGTGTGCAGGTGTGTGCCTATATGCTGGAGCTCTGTAAATTTCAAATCTTAGGAAAGGAGGAAATGTGTCCAAAAATTGTGTATGGGTAATACATTATATGCATTTGAATATATTATATTATATATCTATATATAATGTATGATGTGATGGTTCTTTTAAGGCATACTGAATTAGAATTTAATTAAAATGGGATGTCGTGAGAAAAAGAGGTTGTCAATTACCAAACAAGAAGGAAACTTATTCTACTATCAAATTGAGTTTCTTATTCTTACTCCTCCTATATTACAACATTTGGAGAATCAGTTGAATTGCTTAGGTGTATCAAACACATATTCCATACCCATACATGGGTACATGAAGAGAAATGGGAAAGTACATGAAGCGCAAATGATATCCAAATTTGTGGAGAAGTCCATGCACAAACAATCCACTATCGAAGAAAGGTTCCTTAGGGGCAAGCAGTGTTGTTAAAGGCGCTCCTAGGCTCGAGGCTCAGGTTTAGCGCCTGTTGTCATCCCAGGCTCATTGATGTTTATTAGGCGCGCGCCTCAGTTGCACCTCGTCCTATTTGTCAGGCGCGCCTCACTGATTTTTCTTTTTAAAAATATGATTATTCTATTTCTTAAGCCAAAAAGGATACTTTTGGCAACTTAATAAACAAATAAGAAAGCTCAAGCATATGAGAGAATGAACTTTTGTTCAAAAAAATAAACAAATAAGAAAGCCCAAGAGTCGAAGTGTTAACTGAACAGAGATAGAGTGAGACTATGAGACGAACGACAAAGCCCTAGTTGCAGGGATGAATGACGAAGCCACATCAGTTCTTTCTTCTTCTTCTCTCTCTTCTCCTCTACTTCTCTTTGTTTACATCTCTCTCTTCATCTCTTTGTTTACATCTCTCTCTTCATCTCTTTGTTTACATCTCTCTCTTCATCTAGTTCTCCTCTCTGTCGTTTTTTTTTTTTGCATCTATTTTTTCTTTTCTTTACTTGTTAACAATTTTTGTTGTTTTTTGTTAACAAATTTATTTCTTTTTGTGCTCTGCTTTGCCATTCAAAAAAACAAAATTTGCTTTGACTTTCAAGAAAACAAATTTGTGCTCTGTTTTATGGTTGTTGGATGCTTGTATAGTTGATGGATTTAATTTTTATATTTGATATGAATTTTTAGAATATTGATATGGCTTAATGAGATATGAATGTTTTTATAGTAGTTTAAACTTTCAATTATGTGCTTCACTTCACTCAGGCGCGCACCTCGCCATGCGCCTAGGCTCCAAAGGACCTCCAGTGCCTTTGTGCCAGATTCTAAACACTTAAATCACATGGTCATCTCATATCCAAAGTTACGCACATTGCTCTGCCTCGGACAACTTAACCTTCTGGAGCATATGGTGCAGCCCACTAATTAAAAATGAATTTCCTTGTACATTTATTTATTGATAAGTATGTCCTTGTACATTTGAGTTATTATTTTTTGTTATTGTAGTAAAATGTAATAATATAGCTCTCAAAAAGTTCCAAAACCTTCAAAACCAAAAAGGGATATATATATCTATTTTTTTTCTTTTCTCTTTTGTTTTGGTTTTTTTACACCAGCCTATTGCATAGAGGGGCCCAAACAAATAAGGAAAACCTAGACAGAATGGGGTAACAATAACACTGTTCCTTCAAATATTCGATTAATTATAGCACCCTCTTGTCTGATACTGAGTGTCAATGAACCAAAGTAAACATTTTAACAACAATAAATCAAGCCAAATTTGTTTTTTTTTTTTTTTAAACATTTTGTCACAGATGAGTGTTTAAAATAATAGTAAAACAGATTAAGAACATACCTGAGAAGACAAGATATGAGCTTTCAAATCAGCAAATATCTGCAGATGGATGGTGGTTATCCCAGTAAATTACCAAATATCAGCCCAATATAAAATAGCACAGAAGAAAAATAGGAAAAATAAATAAAATTTGAGTTATATGTGATTCATTCAAGATTCAACTGCAACTAACTTTTTCAAAATGAGTTATAATTTTTTTTTCTTTTTGGCAAATTGGCTTATAAATTATTTACTAAAAGAGAAGAATGTAAGAGTTACATACTTTGCAATACATAATATCGATGAGGATTCGTAAATATTTCATCATTAGTTACAGAGGTGGTTAATGCCATCCATGAAACTAGATCAAGGGTGCTACTCATGAAATCTTCAACTATGACCATTGATACAATCAAACACAGCCTTATATTCTAGATTGGGACGAAGGATAGATCACAGAGCAACATCCTAAAGACCAGAACTCTAAGACATTAATGGAGATTCCAACAGGGTCTGTGATCTAGAACTAGAGGGTGAGGACTGAATAGGTCTTGTAGAACTAATTACTGAAATTAAAATTTTGAATTTAAGACTCACATAAACAAAAATTTAAATTCAATTCATAGCTGATAAAAAAAATCCATCAATCCATAGCAATAAAAAACATTAAAATGTAAAGTAATGGACACTAGAGACTTACATGGAAACCCCTAGGGGAAAAACCACAGGATTTAGTGCACGCAAACCAAGCAAAATACACTGTGAGAGAATACAACCTAGGTTAACAGATTCTACCCCAAGAATCCCCTGATTATCTCCTGAAACATAAGATGCCAAACATTCCCTCGAAAGTCTCTAGGTCATCAGTCCTCTAGTCAACAACATCCAACCACCAGTCGTTGAGGCTTCAATTTCTTTCTGATGAAGGATTGAATGGTTGTATTGAGAAAGAGTATAACCTATGCTAACTGACTCTATCCCAAGAATCCTCTAGTTACTTCCTGACACAAATGACACCAAACTTTCCACAGAAAGTCTCTAGGTCGACGGTCGTCAATCAACTCATCAACAACATCCACTCCTCACAAATCTGTTTCTCTAGTGATTTCTGTCTCGACCACTAGTCATCCAGGCAACAATTTCTAATGAAGGATTGAATGGATATGTTAAACTCTTCAATTCAGTACGAAGCAGTGGCTGTCACACATGAATTCACACTAACCAAAGCTAGAATGATAAATGCAAACGAGAAATAAAGATGCACTCTAAAACTCACAAATAATGCTCTTTATAGGTATTATCTACATATTGTACTCAGCCATAGTATCATATATATATAATGCAACATAAAATTATAAAAGGAATATGGTATGTAGTGTTTAAAACCAACTTGGAAACTATTTTTCCTAGAAGCTCGATACTCCAAAAGCCCTCGATTGATCAAAGTCTACTGCAGTTCCAAAACTCATTTAGTGCATGGTTTCAAAGATTTGGGGAATCAAATATGATTGAAATCATGAAAGTTTAGAACCTTAATTATGCATGTGTGAACCCTAATTTTTGGTCAGTGCATCACTGTGTTGAATTATTTTTTTACCCTTGAAGATGAAGATTACTAAAATATTCTCGAGTGTTGGATTAATTCCCTTCTTCAACCTTGGGAGGTGATAAAAAGGTCTTAACTTTTGAAAACTTTTAACCTAAGCTAAATATTAAAACAAAAGTTACAGATATCACTTTTGTTAATTTGCCCACCTTAGTCCTATTGATCGAACAATCTTCCTCTTTGACAATTTTGTGAGAGAACCATATATAAAAACAAAAGAAATACATTGTGTGGTATGCTTCTTGTTATTCGTCCTCAGAAACTTCGATTGTTTAAGGTCTTCAAAGATTACATCACTTATGTGACGTGCTTCTTGTTCTTCATTTTCAGAACTTCGAGTATTAGGATAAGAAGGAGATTCAACAGAGCTTTAACAGTCTTTTGGACTCTCTGTCTATGTTTGTGTAGAGTGGCCTTGCATATTTATAGGCCAAAGGTTGGGGTATTTAATTTGGTAACTCCCCTATAGTTGTGCTAAGTTTCCAAAAAAAGGAGATATTTGTCTACAAAAATAGGAGATATTTGTCTCTTCATTTTTGGAAACAAATTTGATTTGAATTTTGAATTTATCAAACTTTGCATGAAAAGCTTGAACGGTGAGATTTTGCCACATGTCTATAGATGGAACCACACTTGTAGACTTTGACTTAATCAAGAGATTTTGACTCTTTGACCAACCAGACAGTGATGAGACGATCTCAAAATTTTAGTGTCAACTCCAGAAGCCATTGATCAAACCCTGGACTGATTGGGTCGTCGATGTTGCCGGCCCTAGAACTAAAGATGTTATTTCTTATATTAATCAAGGTTTTTTCATGTGTATTGGAAATAGATGTTTTTATACTCCATTTTTTTCTTTTTTTTCTAGAAGCTATGCCATCTTTTCTTCTATTCTCTAACATTTTGTGCTTCTGATAAATATCCCATTTATAAAAAATAAATAACTTTTGGAAACTCCTAACCTATGCTAGAAATTAAAATATAGGTTACATACTCTGGATTATGTATAGTTATTGATTTTTGAATATAGTACTCTCCTTAGTAGCACCAGTAGGTCACAGGTTAGTACTCTAGGTGTTTATAGAACGCGTTATAAGTGGGTAACATTAGTTGTGAATTATAAGTAATATATTGACGCAGGCAGAATTTGAAATTAATTTCAAATTCTGCCTGCATCATATATCATGTGTATAAGCTTCAGCATGTATGAATCATATGAGAAACATGCTAATGGTTATATGAGATCAAGTTAGACTGTGAACTCAATGCAAAGATTGAAGTAAAAGATTGGTGGATTCAATTATGTTGTATGGGTGGTTATGATTCCAGTCATACTCTGGGTTTGCATATTGGACAACATTGTCCACAATTCAAACTTGGGGGCACCAGTTGAAGAAACTAAAAGAAGGGGGAAAAAACTGCAGTAATTGACAGAACATGTGAGGCCATGAGTCTCACTCGCTTTCCTATACCAACTGTTGTCCAGGTGTATTCTTAACGACAAAGGCTTTATATTTGACTAGTATCAAAGTGTGTTATGTGTCCTGAAAAAATGTGGCAAAAATGGAGAAACAACCCCTTGGGGGAAACAAACCACACAAAGGTTATCTCGTGCAAGTCTATCTTCAACAACATATATCACAAAGGCTAAGTTGTGGCATGGCCGAATTAACACCCACCTGTTACCAATACAGTCAAGTATGGAGAAAATTGTTTTTGACAACTAGAGTAAATCAAAAGTAAGAGAAAAATAAGTAAATTAGGCGTAAATTATAACCTGTTCACTGATGAGTATCAAGCTCAGCATTGGTCTGCTAAGACTCCATTGATTGCCACAGTCCTCAAATAAAACAATCTCAAAAAGGGTCTTAAGTATCTGAAAAAACAAAAGGAAAAAGAATACATCAAACCATGAAGACAAAAAATAAATAAAAGGTGAAAAATGATTACCAATAGAAGTACTATATATTAAAGGATACTTAAATATGAGCTTATTCCACAATAGATTGGCCATGTGCATCTTGAAATTGAAAAATATGCAAATACCTTACTTGACTCACTATTCTCATGTACACATACCTAGTGAAGCAATCAGGGAAACCACTAATAAAATACAAATACAAATTTCAACCACAAACCCTGCAGTTTATCTGATGCATCACTTGTTACTTTAACAAAAAATCACAACAACCATTCCCAACATCTTAACCCCTTTTAATTCAATCAGCACGACCACCAATATCCACCATCCTAGGCACACCCAAACACCTCTTAGACACACATAACGCCATCATCAGGCCATCCTCATAAGAAGTTAACAAGACTTCGAGCACTACCACCTTGCTGCTAAGAAAGGAAAGGTTGTGCTGCATCCTGCTCCAATGTCTATCAGGACTTCAAGAGATGAGCTCAACAATGTATCGCACATGTAGTGGTGAAAATTCATGTAGTTAGCACATTGTGTTGAGACAAACTAGGCCAAAAAAGGATATATATATATATATATCAACTATATATATGTTAGACAGGCTTGATATCAGCTTGTAGCATCATTGCAGATCTTAATTATAGGCTTAGCTTACATTTTTTTTATTTTTTATAAGATTGTATTCAAAGCGTTTAAACAAGGGCAACCAAAGACATCCGAAATGTGCCTATAAAAAGATCAAACATCGAACCTCCCTGGAGAAGAGGGCAACCAAACGAGGGCATTTGGACTAACACCAACAATCTCCTACGATACAATAGTGCCAAGAAACCAAGAACGCCGTCCAACTCCGAGTCTTGAAAACAAGAAGTGCATATCCCAAGTCATCGTCCCGTTATCAAGCCTCCGCAACCAAGGCATGTCTATCACGAGCAATCCTAATAACTTGGGAAAGGAGCAAGCGAACATATGGTCCCCACACACCAAGGATCCTCCCAAAAACAAATACCCCTACCACCATGTCCCTGAATCTGAAATGTTTAGAAAATTCATCCCACCCCTTCCATATGAATTTCCAAACACCAACACCACCTGGGGCCCTAACCGCTAGGGATCACCAACCACCTCTCCCTTCCCTAAAACGGCTCGAAATGACTCTCCTCCATAGCCTGTGATGCTCAGCCCCAAATCTCCACAACCACTTCCCCAAAACAGCCTTATTAAAAGGCACCAACCGCCTAATCCCCAACCCACCCAACTGAATCAGCCTACACACTCCCATCACAAGATGATACTTGAATTCCTCCCCTAAACTACCCAATAAAAAATTCCGCTTAAGTCCTCAATCCTCCCAGCCACCACAGATGGAATCTGAAAAAGAGATAGGGAGTATGTTGGAAGTATGTGCTCTTCATCTGAGTGACCCTCCCGCTCTTAGACAGATACTGCTTCTTCCAACAAGCAAACCTTCCCTCAAACCTCTCCACCACAGGGTCCAGATGCCAACACTTCTCGACAGAGACCCAAGGGCAAACCTAGATAAGAAATAGGAAAGGAACTGACCCCACAGCCAAGGGTATTAGCCAGAGAAGAAATATATGGCACCACTCCCATAAGAATCAAAGCACTCTTTTTTTTTTTTTTTTGATGAGTCATAAGAATCAAAGCACTCTTACCAACATTTACTACCAAGCCAAAGACTGTCTAAAAGCAAATCAAAACAAGATATCCCAGTTGGGATACATCTGCATCCTAGAACAACAACGTTTCATCGGCAAACAACAAATGGGAAATTTTCTACTCACGGGTTGCATCCCTACCCACCCTGAACCCACTAATAAACCCAACACCATTGCCCTCCTCAACAGCCTATCGAGAGCCTCCATAACAATGATAAACAAAAAATGAGAAAGAGGACCCTGCCTTAAACCCCTCGAACTACAAAAGAAACCAATCGGGGACCCATTCATGAGAACCGAGAAGAAATGAAAAACAAAATCCAGCTCCTCCATTTCTCCCCAAACCCCATCCTCTCCAACAGAAAAAGCAAAAACACCAACTATCGTAAGCCTTCTTAATATCAAGCTTACAAAGCACCACTTGGACATCACTGCTCACTGGATATAAGAGCTGAATCAAGAATCTGGTGACCACCAACGAAAGCCATTTAGGATTCCCAAAGAACTCCATTGTCGCTCAACCTTAAAGCAAGAACCTTAGCAATAAGTTTGTAAATACAACCCACCAACATAAGAAGCGCCCCACTTTTTAGGGATAAGGGCAATGAAAGTAGCTTTCAAACATTTCTCAAAGCATCCCTGAGATTGGAATGCATGAAAAACCAATCTCTACTCCCCTGACCACCTCCCAACTCTCTAGAAAGAATCTCATGGTAAAACCATCCGGCCCCAAAGACTTATCCCCATTATAACTCTTCAGCGCTAACAACACTTCCTCTTCGCCAGAATGGCCTTTCTGACCGATCATACTCCTCTGAAATCGAATCGAAGTTCAACCCCCCAAGACGGGGTCTCCAACTATAGCTTTCCATGTACAGCCTCTGATAGTAAGAGGCAACCCCCTTACACACCTCCTCCTCCCTATAAAGAACCTCTCCATTAACTCAAATCCTTCCAATATGATTACCCCTCCTATGAGCATCGGCAAGCTTATAAAAAAAATCACGTGTCTCTATGACCCTCCCTGAGCCAAATTGCGGGACTTTTGCCACCATGAAATCTCCTTTGAAGTAGCAATCTCCGCCTTGCACTCCTCCCTCCTACGTCTCTGCTCAACATCAAGACTACCCTACCCTTCCAGCCGATCAATCTCTGCAATCTACGAAAGAGCCCTACTCTTCCTCGATTCAAGGTTCCCAAAACCCTCTTTGTTCCACCTTTTGATGTTTGTCTTCAAAGAACAAAACTTCCTTGCTATAATGAAGCTCAAACCGATCATACTCCTCTGAAATCGAATCGAAGTTCAACCCCCCAAGACGAGGTCTCCAACTATAGCTTTCCATGTACAGCCTCTGATAGTAAGAGGCAACCCCCTAACACACCTCCTCCTCCCTATAAAGAACCTCTCCATTAACTCAAATCTTTCCAATATGATTACCCCTCCTATGAGCATCGGCAAGCTTATAAAAAAAATCACGTCTCTCTATGACCCTCCCTGAACCAAATTGCGGGACTTCTGTCACCATGAAATCTCCTTCGAAGTAGCAATCTCCGCCTTGCACTCCTCCCTCCTACGTCTCTGCTCAACATCAAGACTACCCTACCCTTCCAGCCGATCAATCTCTGCAATCTACGAAATAGCCCTACTCTTCCTCGATTCGAGGTTCCCAAAACCCTCTTTGTTCCACCTTTTGATGTTTGTCTTCAAAGAACGAAACTTCCTTGCTATAATGAAGCTCAAAGTACCACATACCATCTAAGTCTCCCACCAAGACTACACCCTCACCATAAAATCTCCCGCCCGAAGCCACATGTTCTCAAACCTAAAGGGGGAACTCCTCTTCCTCATCCCTAGAACCAAAGTGTTGAAAGAGAGAGAGAGAGAAACAGAATATATGAGAACTTATATGTTATTGAGTTAGTAATACAATAATACAATGGTGTTTATATAGGAAAAGCTACGGGAGTAGGTGAGTGGAGAATAAGAAAACCCTATACATGGTAATTCTATATATGGTAATGAGGGGTAGGTGACAACTCATACAATACTAATTGTACACGTGTGACAATTCATACAATACTATACAACACTCCCCCTCAAGCTGGAGAGTAAATGTTAATAACTCCCAACTTGCTACATATGGAATCAATAGAGTTCTTGGGAAGCGCCTTAGTGAAGATGTGAAGATGTCTACCAGCTGTTTACCAGAAGGAACAAAAGGTGTAACAATCTCATTAGAGTCAACTTTAGATCGAATGAAATGGCAATCTACTTCAATGTGTTTAGTCCTCTCATGGTAGACTGGATTGCTAGTACTATGAATAGCTGCTTGATTGTCACAATGGAGAGGAATTGGGTACTGGACTGAAATCCCAAGTTTCTGTAAAAGAGTTTTCAACCAAGTAAGTTCACAGGCAGTGTGTCATGGCACGATACTATACTTCAGCACTGGAACGAGCCACAACTAACTGTTTCTTACTCCTCCAAGTTACTAGATTTCCTCCTATAAAGGTGTAGCAACTTGTGGTGGACCGTCGATCAGAAGGAGAACCGGCCCAATCTGCATCTGTATATCCCTCAATCCGAAGACGTCCAGAAGATCAATAAAGCAGACCACGTCTCGGAGCACCCTTGAGATACTTCAAGATACGTACAATTGCCTCCATGTGAGGTACCCGAGGACTGGTCATGAACTGGCTCACAACACTGACTGCATTGGAGATGTCTGGATGAGTGATTGTGAGGTAAATAAGTTTACCTACAAGTCTCCGATAAATCTCTGGATCATCGAGTGGGTCACCATCATCCACCTTAAGTTTTACATTAGTCTCAATAGGTGTAGCTACAGATTTCGAACCAAGATATCCAGTATCCTGTAATAGATCAAGAGTATACTTCCGCTGAGAAAGACTAATGCCTTGATTCGACCGAGCCACCTCAATTCCTAGAAAATACTGAAGTTTGCCCAAATCCTTAGTAAGGAAGCTAGAACACAAGTGATAGTATAGAACTTGTATCCCATCTTTGTCACTGCCAGTGATAACAATATCATCTACATACACCACAAGAATCACAATACCACATTTTGTTTTCTTAAAAAAAAAAAAAAAAAAAGAGTGGTCAGCTTGGCTTCTGGTCATACCAAAAGCTACAACTGCTTTACTGAACTTATCAAACCATGCACGGGGGGATTGTTTGAAGCCATAGATAGACTTCTTGAGATAACACACACACTCCCCCTTATATTCAAACCCAGGTGCTTGAGTCAT